TGTGTGTGTGTGTGTGTGTGTTTGCATTTGTTAGTGTTTGTGTTTGTGTGTGTGTGTGCGTGCGTGTGTGTGTGTGTGTGTGTGTGTGTGTGTGTGTGTGTGTGTGTGTGTGTGTGTGTGTGTGTGTGTGTGTATGTGTGTGCGTGCGTCTATGAGCTCGCATTCCCAAACAGATGGAGACATTTACATGACAGGGTACGCCATATCGACAGGAATGGTTGTCTCTCTTGCCTTGCACCGATCAAGTTGCCAACGTCCCTTACATGCACTCATTGCACATGGCATGGCAGGACGAATAGCAACGAGTCACTGTTGGCACAAGGGGGCATCTGACACTTATTTTTTAGTTAATGACGCCGGCACAAGAACATCACTACCCCCCTCCCCCCTTTCCCCCTCTCTCTCTTTGTATGGCCGGGAGTGACACGGGCAGCTTCGTGCGAGGGGGGTGGGGGATAGGAGGAGATGGTATGGGGGGAGAGGGAGGAAGAAGGGAGGAGAGAATCCGAGGGGAGGAGAAGAAGGAAGAAAGGAGAAGAGAATCCGAGGGGAGGAGAAGATAAGAAGAGGAATGGAGGGAAGAAGAAGAAAGAAGGGAGAAGAGTAGAAGAAAAGAAAAGAAAAGAAAAGGGGAGGGAAGGAGAGGCGAAGAGACGGAAAGGAGGGAAGAGGAAAACAGAACTAGATAGTAAGGAGAAAGAGACGAAAAGAAGAGAAAAGAAGAAAAAGAGGGAAAGGAGAAGACGGACGAAGGACGAAATGGAGACAGTTACAGCACCTGCCAAGTGTTATGGGATCCTAATTGGCCTTCCTCTCCCAGTTTCTAGCGCGGATCTGGCAGATACGTCTCTCTCATTACCTAATTCTCTTCCCTTGTGACTTATCTTCCTTGAGAAAACAGAACTTCGGGACAAAATCACCAAATATGGAACTGATCTGTATAGAGCATCGACGCGGATAGTCTTAGATCCTCTTTTTTTAACTTATAGATGCGTTTTTGTTTTCTTTTGTTCGTTTTACTTATATTCAGTTCGACCTCTCATTTTACTCTCACTTTCTTTTCGATCCCCAAAAGGCATCGGATCCCACATCTGTCTCGAATTCTCCAAAAGCCAGCGCCAAAGGTTCTTTCTAAATCCCTTCCTTGCAATCCAAAGTCAAGAAGGAAACTCGGACGTGCCAAGAAAGAGCATGAAAATAAAATGTCGTACAGCCATTCCGCCATAAATAACCCGAACATAAATGCCGTGACAAAGTGACGCGTGGAGACCTCAACCCCTTGAGTTCCGGCGCCTGTTGAAAAGCAAGGGAATGCGAAACCCTTTGTACGTGTACTAGGCGTTTGTCTTTTGTTTTCTAATCTGCTTGAACTGTGACGAAATCTGAGCTTATTTACGGCGTTGCTAGAAAAGGCGATCTTGATGGTTTAATTATAAATATAATTGTACATTTCTAACTTTCATTTTGTTAGTTGACTACTGTATTTACTGAGCAGTTTTTTTTAGCACTTTCTCGATCTGTCTCTTATGTTCCTGTTTCATCCACTTATTATATCACAAACATATGTATATATGTACACAAATACATACTTATTTGTACATTACATATCCATCTACCTGTCTATATGACACTTTATGTATATATTTATATAGATAGATAGATAGATAGATATAGATATAGATATATAGATATATATGGATGTATAAATGTATATGTATACTTATACATACATAAATACATATATGTATACATATATATGTACATAAATATATATAAACATACATATATGTGTGTGTGTGTGTGTGTGTGTGTGTGTGTGTGTATGTATGTATGTGTGTGTGTGTGTGTGTGTGTGTGTGTGTGTGTGTGTATAAATGAATATACATTGTATTTATATCTATGGATAGCAAAAACGTGTAGCCGAGACAAAAGATAAATAAATAAACACGTCAGCCCATCGGTCATTTCACCTTCTCTGTCAGTCAGGCATCTGCTGTTATAAATTACACGGACTAATTTAAGCACGGATGTCATGCCCAGTCTTTGGCAGAGCCTTTGGTGTAGTTGTTTGGTGACCGCGTTATCTCCACCGCGTCTTCCCCGTCCGTCATTTCTTTTTGAGTTTCGGTTTAATCTCACGGGTTTTCGGATTTGTTTACTGTGTCTACTTCCTCCTGTCCTTGCAAATGTTTCGTTTGAGGAAATTGTATCGTCCTTATTCGCTTTCTTTTTATTTATTCTTTTCCTTTTTTTAAACTTGGTAGGGGAGGAGATAAAAGGTGATATTTCCGACGGTGAAAATAACCACCTCGATTGACGTCATGCCAGCGTGGGTGTTGCCATAGCAAGATCGCCCATCTCGCTCTCTCCTCTCACTTCTCTCTCTCTCTCTCTCTCTCTCTCTCTCTCTCTCTCTCTCTCTCTCTCTCTCTCTTTCTCTCTCTCTGTCTCTCTCTCTCTCTCTCTCTATTTATCTATCTATCTGTCTATCTATCTATCT